GGGCCAGATAACTCCTTATTGTGGGGGTCTGTCCTGTGCGTTCTAGGATGCTTAGAAGTATCCCTGACCCCTCCCCATTCATGACCAAAAATGTCTCCAGACGTTGCTAAATGTTCCCTGGGGGATGGAGCAAAAATCACCCCTGGTTGAGAACCAGTGGTCTAGACTCTGTTAATGGTGTCTTTTTGTCATTGGAATTTTTGTTCACTTTGAAGCAGTCAGCTCTCTCTGTTTTCCTTTACGTCTTCTAGATTTCTTGGCTTACTTAGGAAAGTTTTCCCCCACTCCAAGGTTGTACAAATATTACTCTATATTTTCTTCTAATATTTTATAAGTTTTTAAAAAATATTTAAATCTCTAGAACATCTGACTTTCCTTTTATAAATGGTGTGATGGAGGAGTCTAGCTTTATTTTCTTCCAGTTATTAAACAAACCACCCTTTTCTCACTGAACCCAGTTCCGCACAGTTGCACAGGTAGGGCTCCTGTCTGAAAGTGTTCATGAGCTCTGTCTGCTGAGTGCCCACAGGGAAATCTTAGTCTTGGTTGCTGGTGCTTTGGCTCTCACAGGATGTTAAGGGGGAAAAAACTTACACTTTTTGTTGTTTGTTTTCCCTATCAGTCTCAGCCCAGAGATCTTTGAGAAACTGTTGGATGCGTCTTCTGCCCCACCAGCCTGGGTGCTGTGATGGTTGTATTAGTCCAGAAAGAGAGCAGGGAAGAAGGAAGAGGCAGGGACGTGTGCTTAAGCCACCTTCTTTCCAGGATCTCCTCTTCTTCCTGCCTGGTTCTTTCTTTAATGGAAAGAGGGTGCTTTTATTCATCTGAGAACAGTTTGTAAACTCCTTTTAAAAGTGCTGTTGCCCCTCTACCTGCATATCACTGATACCTTCCTTAGAAAGGTCGGCTCTGCACATAGCAGGCCTTTGATAAACATTTAATGAATGAATGAAATGAAACTAACTTAATGTGTCTGATTTAGAGAGTTGTTTCTTTGGTTTAAGGCTTTATGATGTGAGGGTACCCCATTATAACGCAGATGCCTCAGATGGCTGTGGGCAGTTCACTCTTCCCACAGAAACACATTTCTGTCAACCAGCTGCCATCCTTGGGTCATGCTAGTCCTAGGCAACCCAAGAAATCCCCAGTATTGTCTTTTGACCACACCGGGGTCTGGGAATCAGGGCTGACCCTGAGTAGAGAGGACTTGGATATGTTGGAAGGATGCCACCGTAATGGCACCCTGACTGCTCTCTGGAGCAAGCCAGGTGCACGTTCAGATTTGCTCTTCCTGATTGATCCATACATTCACTAAACCATTTGTCTCCAGACTGTGCCAGAAACTACGGTGCTGGTTGACTAGTTGGAAAAAAAATAAAGCAGTATTATTTTCACAAGAGTGAGGAGAAATGGACATGCCTGTGCAATCTCACAGCTGGAAGAGACTGTAGCCTTCAGCAAGGCAGCCATGAGCCCTCCTCCAACTCAGGGGGTCAGGGCTTCTCTTCCTGCAGAGAAAGGAGGGGAGAGTGGGTTTGGGGATCTCTGCTTACCCATAAGCAAAGGTCAGCATTTGAGAGACCTGTGCCTTTGGAGCAGTTTGGTTTCTTGTACGCCATTGTTCTGTCGTTGTTGTGTGTTTGAAGGCTGTCCTGTCAAGCAGTCGTGGGACAGTAGAAGACTTCTTCCTGGCCGGCCGAAGTCTAGCGTGGTTGCCGGTGAGTAAGCCTTGCAGGTAGCAGTCCACTTTGGGGGCTGCCTGTTAACTTGTTTGTTACTTGAATTTAGGTGTCTTATACCCAAAATAATTTGAAGTTGCTAAATCAGGAGTCATTTCATTAGTAGTTCCTTAACTCTTAAGTAGTTTCTTACCTAAATGTTTCCGTTTAACTCAGTTTAGTTCAGTAACCATTTATTACGTGCCTGGTATGTATGAGGCATTGTTCTGGGTTCCAGGACATAGATAGGAAATACACAGTCCTGCCCCGTGGAAGCGCACAATCTAGAATGAGGGCATACATGTATCCAGCAAATTCCAGTGCATCACAGGCAGTGCATACAGTGAGTCTCGTAGGAGGCGCATGGGCCAGGTACGGATGAAAGGCAGACTCAGGCTTGCTGGGCGCACAGTGTGGTGAGACGGAAGACGGCTTACAGGGGGGTTGTGCAAGCAGGGTTGGGAGATGGAGTAGGTGTTTGCCAGGGAGAGTGTGAGGGCATTCCAGGCAGAGGGAACAGCATATGCCAGAACATGGAGGTGTGGAACCGCACGATGCTGCATGGAGGGAGGTGGGGTAGAAGGGCTGGAAACATTGTTTGTTGTTTCTGTGTTAAATAATTATTCATTGTATAAAGTGATTCTCTCCCAGAGGAGTGCCTCGAAACCCCCACAGCAGTGGAGGCAGCTGCCCCCCATGGCCCAGTACCCATGATGGGGTGAGTGGGGGTGCCCCAGGGAGGAGGAGGATGTGGGGTCCCGGCAGGGCGCAGAGTCTGAGGGACCCAGCCAAGCCTGAGCCAGGACAGCTTTGTAACTTATGTAGAAATATGCGTCCAGTTCTCACACAGGAATGTAAGGTACACTTAGAGAATTGTGCAAGAAGCAGGCCTTGTTCACTAATGTATTCTTTGTCCTCAAATGTTGACCAGTCTTCTGGCGAGGATTCGGTTTTCCACGTTGGGGTAAGGCTTCATGGAGAGAAGTCTTGTCTGGGGAGGAGGGGGTGCCTGTATTCCAAGGGAAGAGGAAAGCGTGCTCGTTAACTCCGAGGGATCAAACAACCGGACGGAAATGGCTTTGCCTCGGTTGGCTGGGAGATTTGGGGACAAGCATTTTCCTGGTGTTAACTCTGAATTATGTTTAAATCTTCTGTTTTTGTAAACCTGGTTTAAAAAGAGATTGATTGTGGCAAAGAAATGTTTGCAGCGGGCCTCCTGCCTTCGTTTATTTGTGAGCAGAGGATTCTAGCAGCACCGTCTCTCCCTGGGCTGGGAGGCCCCCAGTCTTTTGCCTGAGCCATTCTTGGCCTTGAAGTTGTGGTTTCTGTACCCAGAAAAATGGCAGCGTGCTGCCCGTGTTCCCTTGTACAACTGTGACACTTGTAGTGGTTTTCAGAAGACATTAACATGCTTTGGCCTCTCAGTGTTTGTGTGTATGTTTATTAATTTCTTTATTATTAGCAATATCGGGATTATTGCTTAATGAAGAAAATACATTATGGTATTATTAAAGGCAATTGAAATAAAAGAACAATTTTGCCACTCCAACTTTCTTTTTCTCTCATATTTTTCTTCAGTCAGCAGATGTCTGTTGGGTATCAGTTGCTCTTGTCAGGGCCCTCCACATGGCTCATTCTCAGGGTCGGGTCCCGGTCCTCCTCTCACCGGCTCAGCAGTGGTGACACTCTGACACTCTCTGTCCTCCTCCCTCCCTGTTCTGTCACCTGGCTCTCCTCTCTTGCTGCTCACCAGCCACATGCGTGGTCTCCCTGGCCGGTTCTCCCCACCTCCCTGGCTTCTTAATGCTGGAGCTCCCCGGGGTCAGCGCCTGTCCTCTCCTTTCCAGTTACACTCGCACACTTGGCATCCTTGTCCAGTCTCCTGGCCTTAAATACCAGTTACGTGCTGACACATCCCAGGTCCCTCCCTTGACCTCTGCACTGTGTGTCCAGCTGCCTATCTGATACCTGCCCTTGCGAGGGCTGTCAGGTATCGAACTGAATGAGTCCAGAAGGGAACTGGACTTTCCTCTGCAGATCTGCTCCTCCCCTCTTCCCTGTCTCCGGAATAGCAGCTCCATCCTTCTGGTTGCTCAGGTTGGCAGCCATGGAGTCGTGTTAGACTCTGTTCTCTCTCATACCCAACATCCAATCCCTCAGAAAATCCTGTAACTCGATCTAAAAAATGTATTTGAAATCTGACCACTGCTCATCAACTCTGCCTCCAGGCCCACGCTGCCGTCGTCTCTCACCTGGATTAATCATAACAGCCTCCTCTCTGGGCTCCCTCCTTCCACCTTTGCTCCTCTATATCCCGTCTCAACAAAGCAGCTAAAGGGAGCCTATTAAATCTCGTCAGACCATGTCACTTTTCTGCTTAAAACCCTCTGGGGGCTCCTGTGTCACCCAGAATGAAAGCCCAGCTGCTTATAATGGCCTATATCAGGCCACAAGTGGTCTGTACCTCCTTACTCTCTGACCTTGCCTCTCAGGACACCTGTCCCCAGCTCTAGCCAGTGTCCTTGAACACTCCAGCCATGCTTCTGCCCCAGGGCCTTTGCCCCTGCTGCTCCCTCCACCTGGAGTGCTCTCCCCAGGGATGCCCATCGCTTGCTCCCTCATCTCTTCTGGTATCCCTCAGCTCTCCTCTCAGTCTACCCCAACCACCCAGTTGCTCAGCACTTCCTGTCTACTTTTCCTCCTTTCTTTTTCTCTCTAGTACTTATCACTGTCTGTGATGCTATAAAATAATCCCCTAATTTGTTTTATTTATTCTCTTCTTCCCAAAAGAATGTTAGCTTCATGAGGGCAGGGATTTTTGTCTCTTTCACTCACTAATATATCCCTAATGCCCAGAACAGTGTGTGGCACATATTTCGCAGTGGATGTTTATTAATAGTTATTGAATTAATGAATGGTGACCTTTTAACCTACCTTTTCCTTTAATAATGTACTAATATCTTCCTAGGTTTATATAAACATAGATAAGTAGATATAGATATTTTATACTTATATGCAGTTGCATAGTATTATATAGTAGGAATATTCCACCATTTATGCACCATATTATTGGGTAATTCGGACTGTAGATAATTTTTCACTATTATGATAAATATAGTGAACATTCCTAGTAGTAAAAATAACTACCATTACTTGAGTACTTATGTACTCAAAAATCTTCTAAGATTTTTTTTCCTTATGTTTGTCACTGCTAAGATGTTTGGTGCCTGTATGCTCTCGCCTCTGTCTTATTAGTGCATTTTACCTTTTATAGTTATTAAAAAAAACAAGTCTTGTTTAATGCTTTTGGTCTTGAATGCTACTCTATCTTAAGTTAATATTGTCAATGCTGGGTTTTGTTTGTTTGTTTGTTTTTACCTAAAAGGCTGTTATTTTCAGCCTCTCTTGTTAATTTGGTTTTAAGGGTGTCTTGTGTCAACAGCATAATAGTTGGATTTTGATTTTGAATGGAGTGGCTATCTCTACTCACTTAAAAAGCTATTATTGGTTTAGGAGGGATTTTCTTCATTTTAAACGCCTCTGGGATTTTTTATTTTGAAAGTAACAGATGTTGGCTGTAAAAAAAAACAAAAAATTACAGTCCAAGTATAGAACTTGAAATTTTCTCCCCATTCCATCTCTATAACCGTAATTCTAGTCCCCGGAAGTATTTTGTTGTATATATACTGCCAGCGTCACTCCCATGTACATATAAGCATATATGTGCACAGGTGTAACTGGTACACGCAAAATTTTTCTGAAATGATATTATGCATATTGTTTACCTTGTTGTTACCACTTACTAGAGCTCCTTTATTCTTTCTGTGTGCTGCATTGTATTTCATTGTATTCATGTACCTTAGTATTTTAACCAGTCTCTTATAGAGAATCAGTTAGATGTTAGTATTTTTAGCTTATTTCAAACAATGATGAAATTACACTCCTGCCAATATTTCTGCATTAGGGAATTGCAAGTAAGTCAGTGGAGCATGTGGAGGCTGGCAACGTAAGAATGGCTGTTCTACTTTTTTCTCTTTCTCCTTCTTTTTGGCTTCTAATTTATGGTTAGGGTTTGTATAGAAGAAGCACGAATGGTAATTCTGTCCAGGGAATGATCCCTTTTGAGAAAATGTAAAATTCAATTTGAGTTTACATTTGTGAAAATTAATTCTTGGAGTTGGACTAAGTTCTGATATGTAATCGTCTCTGATTTTCAGATAGGTGCTTCTCTTTTTGCCGCAAATATTGGCAGTGGCCACTTTATGAGCCTGGCTGGGAAAGGAGCGATGTCAGGGATCGCCGTTGGGGCCTTCGAGTGGAATGTAAGTGATACCTTTTGCAGCAACTAACCTTCACCTTTATTGTTGTCCAGATCAAATTCATAAACATAAAAACTTGCTCTCAACGCTGAGTAAATATTAAAGACTTCTTGAGAAGTCATGGAAGAAAGGAACCAAGTTTCTGATTTCTCAAAAAGATTGTGCTAGTTTTCATTCTTCTTGGTAAATTAATGAAGAGATAGAGAATGTTTACATTTCAAGGAGCATAGGAATACAGTGAACAAAGAACTGTTAGGAAGCTAGTCACGTAGGGTAAAGATCATATTAATATTTAAATGTGTGTGTGTGTGTGTGTATGTATGTGTGTGTATATATATGTATGTATATGTGTGTATGTATGTGTGTATATATATATGTATGTATATGTGTGTGTATGTATGTGTGTATAGATATATATGTGTGTGTGTATATATATGTATGTATATGTGTGTATGTATGTGTGTACATATTTGTATAGATATATTTGCAGTATATACTAAGAATAGGCTCAACTGAGCTCTTTGAGATATTCAGCTAGTTACTTCAAAAGTCCTAATTGGTCTCTTAGGAATACCAGGTCTCAACTATAAAACTTATAAAATGGATTATTTATTTAATCTGTGGAATATGTTTGTTGTAGGATAAAGAATTTGTTCACCTAAATTATAAGTGAATTTATAAGTCTTGGGTTAATTAACCTATCTCTGTATGAATCATCTGGCTTTTTTTTTAATAAATCAGAAAGCTCCCTACTTTCTGAGTCTCATCTTTCTTCTTATAGACTACAAAAATAAAGACTACTTTTAGCAGAGTTAATTCCAAATCTAATAAGCCCTGGTCTTTACCATCATTTACCTCAGAATTTCCTAGCATCTCATTCATATATTCAACTTACCTACCCCTTCTTTGTAAAGAAAGCCAGAACCAAATTTAATTACTTAATTTCATTAACTTGTGTGAAATTTTGGTATAGTTTCTCTCCCATTTCTCTGAATGGATTCTGATTTTTCTTTTTTTTTTTTTTCACTATCTTTTATATTTAATTATAAGACACCTTCATTCCTATCTGGAAGTAGGCAAACAAATTAAAAATAAATACCTTCAAAATTGTCTCAGTTAATCCCCCTGAATTAAAAATACACCTTTTTACTGGCAAAGATCAAGTGTCTCTAAGTCAAGTTTGTTGTACTGGAAGGTGTCTGCTGGGCTGTTATTTGTAAGGTCCCGGGAGTGATACATTTATGAAGCTCAAAACAGATAGTAACTGGGGAGGAGAGTCAAGATGGCGGCGTAGGCAGACTCTGAACTCACCTCCTCCCGTGGACACAGCCAATTTACAACTACTCGTGGAAAACTTACCCCTGAGACAGAACTGAAAACTGGATAAGAGGAACTCCTGCAACAACGGACAATCCTAACTGGGGTAGAAGAGGCAGAGACTCCCTTCTG